CGAGTGGTATTCCGAAACTCCCGAGTCCTTGTGTTTCCTGCACACGTCCTTCCCGTTGCCGTACGCCCCTGGCCACTCCCACTTCTGCAAGTACATATCAAGGGTTAACCCTCCGAACCCGTGACGGGATAACGCTTTGAGACACGAGCTGAATTCTACAACGAACACCCCCCCTACCAAGTATACATGCATGTAATCCCACGTCAGCACTTGGGGAAGATCAATGTCGAGATCTGGATCTTGTAGAACTCCAGTGGGCACATAATTGAACCCCAACGACGTTTGCAGCTCGAGTAACTTAGATTTCATCCCTGGATGGTTCCCAATGGTCCTGAGGCGCTCCTGGATTCCCTGGATGGACGCCTTTGTCTGGAGGTCGAATTTGGTGACGTCCGTGGTTGTCGATGGGAGGCAGTATCCTGACCTATCGGGTAACCAGCTCGATTTGTGCCCCAGAATATTCTTGCATAGCAAGCACACTTTGTGTCCACCCGCCCCCTTACATTGGATGCTGAACTTATGCCCACGTTCATCGGCAAGCAGGGCCGCAAGACGCCCGTGGACAAATCTAGGCCCCAGATCTCCACCAAGACGCAGCACGACCCCATCCCGCAAATCAGGGGCACTCGGACGGCCTAAGAATAACTGCAATATCACCTTCATGATTTGGGACAGCCCCCCAGGAAATTTATGCTCCTCTGTGGAGCGGATGCAACAGGCTGTAAACCACAACTCCTCCGCACAGAGCATGGGGAAGCCGAATTGTTTCACCTAGGGGCGAACGTCGGGGAACGCAAAGCCACTGTCCAGGGCCAACCTACAGTTTTCTCCCCGACCCCCTCCCCACGGGGTGGCAGCCCCTCAGTCCCCCCCCCCACGCACACAATATACTACATGTAAGTCTACCCCATTTGGCTTTGCAATCCCGCAGATGACCGCCCAATAAATGCACTGAACCTTGCGCTGGTTGTGCTCGGCCAGCGGGTTCCCTGGTGTGACCTCGTCACAGTGCAAATAAAAATCTAACTCGTTGTTTGAAAGATCAAGCGTTCGCCTAAGCAGCCCACTGAAATATGCTGACTCGTTCGACGCGGCCTCCAGCCATCCAAAAGGGTGCTGAACCCATATCTCCATGGGGTCGCCATTGTCTATGGGCACCATCACCTTCTGAACTAGAGGGCCGAATGATGTCTGTTGGCTGGCGGCTCTGACCCTGTCCCGTGCAAACGAACGTGGAGAGAACGCATCGGGGAGCCCTTCCGTCTTGATCTGGTCCATCAGGCGCGCCATCCCTGATGCCGTGACGAATGCTGACTTCCCCATCTGGGACAACTTCGGACGCTTTGGTTGAGACATGTGCGATACTGTGCCAGGAATGCTATACCAACAATGAGGCTTGCCCCAAACAGCTTCGGAATCGGTGGCTGACCCGCGCCGACCCGATGGGCAAACCGAGCTGGAGAGATGAACGGAGCATGCTGAACAGGAGTAGAAGGGGACGATGCGGCGAGCAGGATGAGGCGGGGTGCGAGGAGTAGCATATGCTGGGGCGGAACGGAAGATAAGGGGAGGAGGGGGGGATAAAGAGGGCGAGAGTTGAAAGTGTGCGAGAGGGGTAACACTAAGGAGGCAGAGGCATCGGCCAGTCGAGCCCTTACCACGCCCTGCGCTGTCAGACATCTGATGCATGCTGCCTCAGGTCGTAGACCCCCTCTGTTTTGCCACGCACCCCTCCCCCAAGCATTGATGAGGGGCATGCTGGAACATGATGCACTTGCAAGTGCATCATGTTCCAGCATGCCCCTCATAAGGTGGGTATAGGGATGAGGATGACGAGGACGACGAGGGCGACGATACGGACGAAGAGGCATGAGAAGGACGAGGAGGAGGCCATGTCGACGCCACCTAAACACATGCTGAGCGCATATGTATGGATATCCATGTTGCTTGAAACGGCGCTACTTCTGGCGATGCTAACGGTACTCGCTCACGGATCCCAGGGCCTGTTTCGCATCTGCTCACAGACGCAGTGCACAAACCTAACAAAAACGCAAACGTGCCCATCGCCGTCACGAAAAACGAAAGAGGTCAAGCACTAACAGTCCCCAACATGCTTGCCTCACCGACGTGTTCAGACTGAACCTACTTGGCAGAATGCCAAACCTGCGACGCTTTCAAATAAGCTGCCTTCGCAGCTTCCTTGATGCCGCTCTCGCTCATGCCCGCCTGGGCTGCCCTCGTCTTCGCCTTGCCGTAGCACCAGCTAGCGAACGTGTTGCAGTTGCGGCCGTTGATGTTCGCGGCGGTGCAGAAGTCGTTGATCTTCACGGTGCTCACGAGCTTCTTGCCTGGCGATGCGCGCTCTCGCTCGCTATCACTCGCTCTCTCATTTCTATCTCTTGCTCTCCACTCCCTCCCTCCCCCTTCCTCTGCTAAAGTGGACTCCTCCTAATCCTCGCCTCCCTCATCACCCCAGCTTTCCCATCCACCGTATGGCCTG